TTTTGTAGGACACAGCGGCCAGTTTAAACTGATAGTATTGTGGACAATGAGACAGCCAAGAATAATGTTCTCTTGAGTCATGGAAGAAATTGTAGCAGCGACATGATAAAAAATTTTATGTCCGCTGTCCTTCTGATATTGGGGATACTTAATCCCAAATATTGCCACATCGGTAAAGTTAAGTTTCCTCCCAAGGGCTAACTGAGCGCAAATGAACTTTCGCGAAAATGCTCTGACTCCCCGTTTGATGGCGCTGCAGGTTTCTTTATTTGGATTAAACTGAGACATTCCATCCGACTCAATCATGAAGCCGTGCAGGTTAGAATTTTGTACTTTCCAGAAAGAGTAGAGGGAATCAATACCGCCAGAATTAGGATGTGGGACTTCAATTAATTTTAATCTGCAGGTGTAACAGACTACAGAGATGTTGACGGAGTTTGTTGAGGATTTAAGAGGATGGTAAATTACGAAAAGAGCTGAGGACAGTTTTCCCTCTAAATTGATTTGGAAATATCGTATTATCACGACAAGAAACATGTATGTCGGGTTCTCCCCGCAGGTGTGTAACCCGTTTTGGGTTCTGTAAAATATTTCGCGAGTTTGTAATTTGGGAAGAAATATGATAGAAATCTGGGTAGCGAAATGCCCCAAATTTTTTGGACAGGTGCGTCGGCAATTCTGGTAGTAACGGTTGTCCCTGATGTCATTGTTGGGCAGGTGGTGCAACAGTTTAGGAAATTTTGAATTGTACAGGAGAAATTTGAAGAGGTTACGGTTCCAAAATTTGTGATATGAGTTGTTGAAATTTCCTAAGATGTGAAGGACGGAACTTTGGGGGAATATGCGATCAATGTTGGTAATCTCGATTTTGCTGCAGTCAGAGATAGGGATTAGGTGGAGGAATATGCTCAAGTATATTTTGAAGAGCATATTATTTGATTTTCTGGGGAATGTTACATTGCAGAGTTCAAATTTTAGTGTGCTAGAGTCCGAAAGGCTGACTGATAACCCTAACGTGTGAATGTCCTTCGTTTATTTAGTTGGACACGAATTTAATAACGCAAAGTGATTTCTATCGAGTCTTATATGTAAGTTGATGCGTGTAGATGCGTGTTCAGATGTATGGAGGGACATGTACGTAGTTCAGGAATATTTAATGAAGAGAAAGTGTCCAATAGTTAGATATTCAGAAATTTTCTAAATGAATTAAGCATGTGGAACATATCGTAAAGTCAGCGCCGTATTTAGATACGTAATATTGGTACACTCTTAGAAATGGGGTTACGATTATAACCAAAAAGTAAACGTATGTGACTCTACCGCCGTGGTTATAAATTTGTCACCAACTGGTTACAATTGTCTCCGACTAATTATAAAGTTTCACCGACTTGGTATTAAATTGTCACCAGAGCTAATAAATTTATAACCGGTTGGTGACAAATTTATAACCACGGCGGTAGAGTCACATACGTTTACTTTTTGGTTATAATCGTAACCCCATTTCTAAGAGTGTACATATTTACATAAAGTCAGCCAAAAGAAAATGATAAATAACAATTTTAATCATCCGAATATTTTATCAAAACTAAATTACTTCGACAAACAAGCCAATAACGCTATATGTTGAAATTGAAAGTCTGTAGTTCTTGCATATTTTATTCTGCGGGGCATTACACCGAATTGATATTTACACTCTTAGAAAGTTGGTATTACATAATTACTGACCGGAGCACATATGTATGACTTTTCTGGTACTGGTATTAAAAACATGCATTATCGCAACATCCTCAATACGACGAATCAAGAAGTAATCATGGGTACCAATAAATACACATGTATAAAAATACGTGGGTTATTAAAGGGTTTTATTTTTTACGTATTTACATTTGTATGTAGATATGTCTGTAGATATGTAAATCGTCACGAGGTGACTGCGTGACTTGAGTGAAGAAAACTGCCCGTCACATCGAGGATAAAAAAATATTCCAGCCGTCCTTTGCCACAGATGTTGTAATTTATATTCCCAGTTCCGAATTATTTAGTCGTGGAGGCTAGTGTTCTCAATGGTCCGGTCCACGGACCGGACCGGACCGATAACTCCGGTTCGGTCCGGTCCTGGTCCTGGGCTTAGACCGGACCAGGACCGATAAAAAATTTCGGTCCGGTCTCGGTCCTGACTGTTTAGGACCGGACCGATAACCTTCGGACGATAACTTTTGGAGAAAATGTGAAACGGCTACAACATAGCGCTTTAATTTTATGACCACATATATCTATTATATCTGGCTTTTGAATTAGCTTATTAACCTCTTTCGTATCAATGATTTTTGTGTAAAATTTCCTTGGGTACGATGTTGATTTTTTAATTACACCGAATAGCAACCAATGAAAATCTTCATGATTTCCTACAAAAGACGGTATGTTTATTTCAACCAGTTTCCAAGTACCGGTATAGAGAAAATTCCATAATTTGGGATGATTTTAAACAATCGACTATTAACCATCTAATTTGCCACAAAATTGCCAAACAAATACTCAGATTTTTTAGAATTTTTTTTTAGTTTTAGCAGTACGCAAATGTGTGTACTTCATCTTTGAAACGTTAAAATTAACAGAAATAAGTATGAAATAAGCCAAGCCAGCTTGCCCTTTCTCAAATGTTTCACCCTACTGCTACATTGCGTTTGCTACAGTTTATGACGTTGTTTACTTGCTTTCACTCTTGTCGGTCGCACACATGCCGACCACTTTCATCTATCTAATTTTTTTTGCAAGGTTGGGGATAATTGTTATTTATTTACCAAAATTTATGGTAGATTCGCCAACCAATATTTGTAACAGATGTAAGCTTAGATTTAACTTAGCGTGCGATTCATTCTGAGATTAATCTCTGTAAATTTCCAAATTTTTCACAAATCGTTTTAAAATTTGTCCCATTTTTAGTCATCGTTTAACGTAAAGAGTATTTATTCAATGGTCAGGTTCAAAAAGTTCATGTGGATCATTAAATTTTATATTGCGCCGCAGGGAATAACAAAATTTCTTTTACTCAATCAGATAAAAGACAGTAGGTGAGACATTAGTAATGGCACACTACTGAAAATTTGGTGACCCTCATAATCTGTACTTGTGAAAACTTGTCACTATCTTTAAATCTATCAAAAAAATAAAATTCTAATAAGAACTTCGAATTTTACGACGTTAAAATAAATTTTGAAAATTAAATGTAAACTTAAATTTTTCTGTGAAGCAACTAACGTGTTCTGAAGTAACTTGTAAAATCCGTAAGGTTTGTCTAATATTGAAAGCGAAATCTTATCGGTCCGACCGGGACCGACCGATAAGACTCGGTCCGGTCCCGGTCCGGTCCCGGTCCTGTCAAAAAATATCGGTCCGGTTTCGGTCTAAGCTTATCGGTCTTCGGTCCGGTCCTGATCCTGCACTGGACCGGACCGAACCGGACCATTGAGAACACTAGTGGAGGCATTTACGTTAATGCACTTATGTGAATGTAAATATTTTTGGGTAATGATTACGGAGAGGGTCCGCCACCAAGGGGTAATAAGTCAAAAACTCATATTTTCATGAAAAAATCTTATAGTCAGATAATAAAAATGCCTACATGAGTTCGACAACCAAGTTCTTTTGTTAAATATGATCTTATGTACATGATAACCCTGAATTCACATAATACTTAAATTCCCTTCAGTCATACAAGTATAAATATTATCCTCCAAAAACCCCAGGCGAATCCGGCATTTATAAAACCACCCCCACCCCCACCCAAATCCACCCCCACCCCCACCTAAATCCACCCTCACCCCACCCCACCCCCATCCACCCCCACCCCCATCCACCCCCACCTAAATCCACCCTCACCCCCACCCCACCCCCACCCCCATCCACCCCCACCCCCATCCACCCCCACCCCCATCCACCCCCAACCCCATCCACCCCCACCCCCACCCCACCCCCACCCAAATCCACCCCCACCTAAATCCACCCTCACCCCCACTCCACCCCCACCCCCATCGGTTGCAGTTTAGGGTGAAAAAGTTAAAATTTAAAATGCTTATGAAGACAACTATGGCAAGTAAATTCCTTACCCCAGGAATAGTTAAACCTTTCTAAATTCACAATATATATAATTGTATATTCACAACCAGGCGAAAAGGGTTAAATCGAATGTAGCTATTTTTACACGACAACTTGTTCATATCCATACATATATGTACATATGTACGACCGAGACCTTATAAATATTACTCCACCTAATCTTTACGACATTTTTAAAAGGCTTAATTCCAGCTTCAGCGTGAAAAAATATGCATGTGTGAAACTTGATCTTTCCCAATCTTTAGTCGCACATCGTGAAATTCCTCTTGAAAATTTCAAAAAAATGTCAAAAGCGATTATATGGAAAGTATGTAATTATGAAGCTTTTTGTTAAGACCGTTTTCAAAAATATGTATTGTCCTAATATCTGCGAAATATTAAAAAAATGCAGCAAATTTTGAGAGCCGCAATTTGACGCTACTGGCACCGATACCACTGGAATGGAGAATTAAACGTTTTCGCGAACCTGTGGCGTCCCAAACTTTCTGACTTTTTCGCATCTACCCAATTACCGCATTAAATGTTGTTTCGAAAGAGTTGCTGGAAAATGACAAGCTTAAAAACTTAATTTAAATGTTTAGAATCATCCTTCGTGTCGTAAATTCTAAATTTCATGCTGTACAGACCGCTATGTCGACATTTTTAAGTTGAAAATTTCAACAAAAGTTTGTCTACACGGTCAAAATTGGTTGGGATCAACTGCTCTGGTCATATGCTGCATGTTCCTGTCGATTTTTCGCTAATTTAAAAAATAAGATTACCATTGTCCTTTTGTTCCTTCACGGTCCGTGAGAACTTATGCAAATCTGTGAATCACGGATTTGCATAAGTTCTCACATAGCCCCGTTGACTTTTCTTTTTTTTACCCCGAAACGAAACCCAGCGTTCGTTCAAGTGCAAAGCAGCTGTTGAAATCGAGACAAAAAAGTTATTTTCGGAATCGAAAATTTCGCTCGATAAATCAAATAATTTGCAGCTGCAAATTCAAATTCACGTTTTAAGCTTAAATTCCCCAAAAGAAACGAAGTAAGTCTTACACTGCCAATTAATCAGAGTTATGAACTACTTATTTATTTTACTAATGTTGTGTATTTTGTATTTAATGATGATATTATTGTACGATGTATTTTCCTCGGCAGTCTAACAACTTATCAAACCAAGTCGTGTTAAGCTGTCCGTGGACCTTAAATCATGTCGCACTCAATCGTTGCCAAGTCGCACGTTAGTAAATATAACGACACTCAATTTTTTTTTTGTATTTCATCCTTGGACTTAGAATTTAGCTCTTATCTTTCAGGTGGAGACCGAGGAGCACGAATTTCTCTGGACCATCGACAACTTCGACTTTCTCTCTGCCAATCCGGAACTTCTGGACGCACACGTTCTTCCCGTCACCATCGTCTCCAGCAAGGACAAGATCTCGACATGGAAAGTGTTCTTGTCGCAGGAGGAGGAAAAGACGTCACTATTCTTCCAATTAGTAGGATACACTGGGCTGGACGGGAAGATTTCCATCGCCATGAAGGTCCGCGTGCAGAATGGACCGTTTGCAAAGTTTGAATGGGGTAAGAAATCCATGAGTCAATTCCCAGAGGCCTTTGTAATTTTGTAAAATCCGTAAATTCTGTAAATTTACAACCTTCTATAAATATTCCAAGGAAAATTGACCAAGAAATTTATATAAACTTTTTACTTTGCAAAAGTTTGTAAAATTATTTTGCGAAACGCACGGATTTTACCAAACCAATGACTGCGCGAATTCTCTCAATAATTTAATCTCATATTTCTTTTTACTAATAATCCTTCCATTCGTAGTAATGTCCCCCCGTAACTTCACATTGGGCAAAGAAGATAAGGTCAAGTGTAACATGGGAAAATATATTGGAGACTCGCCCATTAAGTTGGATCAATGCATCGCTGAAAATTTGTCCTTAGAAGAAATTTGTCACCAACGTGGCGACAACATGTTGAAGTTGGTCATCACCATGAAGATCTTTGGCCAACAGAGCTTAACAGTTACGAAGAACGATCCGCCCCCTCGCGCCCTGGAAATGGAACAAGCACAAAGTATGCTGAACCATAAGGAGGTCATGTTGGCCATGCTGGAAACCGGGGTGGGAAGCGACGTGACCTTTGAAACGAGGGACGGCCAACGGATCGAGGCGCACACGTGCATCCTGACCATGCAAAGTGCCGTCTTCGCCGCTATGTTTGCCGCTACTTGTGAGATGAAGGAGAAGACGGACGGAGTCGTCAAGCTGGTCGACATGGGGGGCGAGGGGCTCAAAATCTTGTTAAAGTTTCTTTACTCTGGTATTTTGGACAAGACGTGGGGCAAGTTTTATGAAGAGATTGTGAATGCAGCGAATAAGGTGGGAACTTATGTATGATAATTACTCTGGACTTTACACTCGTCAAAATCCATGCATTTTTTTAAATCATTTCTCGGCTCTGGGAATTGATTTCGAAATTCTGAAGGACAAAGTTGTACTCAATGAGTGAATGATGTCGAGTTTTTAAATCAGTTTTGATGAACTTCTCCTTAAAATTGTGATCTCATCCTTCAAAAACTGTCGAAATCTGGGGTGTATATTTAAAAAAAATTGACAACTCTTCTTTGCTCTGCAAATTTGTCATCCAGAATTTTAAAATAAATTCCCAGAGCCAAGATAGGAATTAAAAAGTGTGACGAGTTTGACCCTTGTGGCGATAAGTCAACGTTACTGTAGAATTCAGCAGGTTGAATTTATATACTTCTCGGAAGGGTGACATTATTTTTAAGAGCTTATCTGTCATTTTGATATGTTTTATTTTTCCAGTATCAAATCACACGATTGATCGCGATATGCGACAAGCTGCTTCCAACCGTTGTCTCCTGGGAAAATTGCGTCGAGCTGTTGAAATTTAGCGAATTACATGGGATGACTAAGGCGATGGAGAAAATCAAGAAGTTTATGAAGGGGTGAGTAAATATTGATTATTATGGATAAAATTGTATCCCTATTTTTGTTAAATAAAGATAAAAATAATTAATATTTTGCTTGCTGTTTGTTTAGAGATCCAGAAAAATTGCTGCAATTGTGGCACGTTGCTGCGTTTGGGAGTCGTCTTGAAGCCGGACCGTCGAGTTATTCAGTTCCTGAGAACGATACTTATCACCAGCGAGACCGTCGACGCGATGACATTCTACGTTGCGAACTTGATAAAGATGATGATGATTTCCCGGAGTGTTAATTATGTATTTGGTAACCATGTTTCGTCTGACTTCGTTTAACGGACACATATGTAAATTAACTATAATTTTATTATCTTTGTTGACGATTCTTGGGAATTGAATTTCTATGAAATGCTTGTCATGTGACTCTTGAAAATAATGAGACCTTTTTGAAAGGTAAATTTGCCCTGAATTCTATATTAAGTAAACTGCTCTAAATATCGCGTGTTTTCCACCATAAATAAATGCATACTTAAAAACAGTACCTCCACCTCTGGTAATTTGTTAATTATGTTAATTTGTCCCTTAATGTTTTAACCATTTCCAAGAAGTTGATGTGATAAACGAGTGGATAAGTCATGTCCTAAATAATATAAGTAGCAGACAGACAAAGTTTTATCCTCCTCCCCAAACCCATGCTTACATAACTGACCCTTCGACTTTTCAGGTAGGAAAGACGCTTTACAGACACAATAATTCCCGTCTGGCAATTAAAAATCCAGTGCATATGCACCCGTCCCAACTTTTAAATGAACCTTTCCAACCCACATGTTACAAAATCAACCTTTTTTACCCAACAAGTTCACCTTCTGGACATATTAAATAATCAGCGTCCCTTCACTTCTCTCCAGTGCTCGCTTGCTCTCCTTCGAATCCACATCACACAAAATTTTTGTGACACAAATCCTCCCATAAACCACCCACAAATAAACTGAAACTACACTTTCAAATCAATTTTATCCCTTAATAACTTGTTAAATAAATAGTTCTTCGTGCTTTTTATTAAATTCCACCAATGGATAAAGATGAAAGTCCTGGTAAGTAAAAATAATTTCGTAAAAAGTGTCGTGTCCGCGGAAGCTGTTGGGACATTGTAGGATAGGGGGGCGGGTCGGGTTTATAAAACAGATGATGGGGGCAATTCCCTCCCTCTGTCCCCTCTAGCTTCCGCGTCAGTTCAAATCCTTGTAAGAAATTTAATTTTAATTATTTCATCATCTTCTCTTTCGGATAATTCAGACTCCGACTCCTTCCGTTCCGACCGTGAGCTGGACGTGCGTCATAATGTTCCTATTCCCTGCTCCGGTTATAACTCAGATACCAGTTTCCACCCCACGGGATACTTAGACATGTCTGAACTTTTGCAGACCTCACCAACCGCCACGGGCGAGACAAGTTCCGCCGCAACCGCCACGGGCGAGACAAGTTCCGCCGCAACCGCCACGGGCGAGACAAGTTCCGCCGCAACCGCCACGGGCGAGACAAGTTCCGCCGCAACCGCCACGGGCGAGACAAGTTCCGCCGCAACCGCCACGGGCGAGACAAGTTCCGCCGCAACCGCCACGGGCGATACAAGTTCCGCCGCAACCGCCACGGGCGAGACTAGTGCCGCTGCCCCGCCACCGCCAATGCCTCCACCACCGCCCGTCTGGGACCGCCCCACGAGAGACACGGCTGCAGTTGTTCAGACCTCTACGACAACCACCGCCGCCGTCACGAGCGAGACATGTGCCGCCGACCCGCGGCAACCGCGGCCAAAATCGCCACTGCCCTCCATCCCACGTGTCATTGACGACGGCCGTGTCCCTGACCCCTCCACCACGCGTGTCATTGACGACGGCGCTATCCCTGGCCCCTCCAGGGTAATTGTGGAAAGGATAATTGTGGACGAAAATGACGACAGTACCTCCGAAGCCGAGCAATTTATCGTATGTGAACGTGGTGCACTAAAAAGAAAGAGCGACCCTCAAGTTGAAAAGAAGAAGGAGCAAAAATATGACGCGGACGATGAGAACAGTGATCCCATCACTGAAACATCATACCTTGCTGACGAGGTGGCTGATATCGCTGTCACCTCCAGTAGCGGCATCACTTCCACGACCGCCGTTAGTGACGCACCCGTCCCAGGCACCTCCGCCAGTTGCCCCGCCCTCCCGGAGGACAAAAAGACTGAGGAGAAATCTAAGGAGGACCAAAGTCCTGATCCAGGTACCCTGACTGAAGACGATCTTGACGACGCTGTTTATGACGAACCTGGAGAGGGGGCGAATGCCGGGGCTGAAGGTGGAGATCCTGGAGAGGGGGCGAATGCCGGGGCTGAAGGTGACGAACTTATGCCGGATGCCGGGGCTGAAGGTGGAGATCCTGGAGAGGGGGCGAATTACCTAGTTCCCCGTCTCGCACCTGACGCAACGGTGAATGGCCGAGTTGCCCGTAACACACCCGAAGAAGGGGGGAGTGATCGGGCTGAAAGTGACGAACCTGACGAGGGGGCGCATGGCCAAGTTGGACGTGACGTACCTGACGAGGGGGCAAGTGACCAGGATAAAGATGACTCACCTGGCGCAGACTCAGTTAGCCGGGCGTCGGACTCGTCTGAATATGTAAGTCACATATTTAAATCCTACTTTAAACCCAAATTTTGTGGAAATTAAGTTTTAAACTTGAAATTCTCACCAAATTAAACTTCCAACTACATAAATTTGTACATTTTTTTCAGATTGACGTCGAAACTATTGACACATCTGAACCTGTAAGTCACATACATAAATCAGTTGTGCACTTATTTGAAATACAATTTTTTAGAAATTGTTTAACATTAATTTCTAATCAAATTTAAATTCTTTACAGATTGACATCGAAAGTATTGGCACATCTGAACCTGTAAGTCACAGAAATTAGTTATGCATGCACTTAAAATTTTTTGAAAATTACTTAAAATTCGTAAATTAAATTTCTACCTGAATTTGAATACTTTACAGATTGAGATCGTAAGTACTGAACCCTCCGACGGTGAGGACGAGAACGCCGATGGCCTCGGACTTGGAAACTAGAACGGGACAAGGACGACATGGATTTTATACTGGCTTGTGACTGCTAATTAATTTTAATGTGGCTAATTTACATATTTTTAAATACTTCCTCTTATAATGTATCGACATATTTTTCAATTTCTATTTACGAAAACAAGTTTTTCGAGTTAAGAAAATTGCGTATTTATTTATGTACATATTTATTTGTGACAAAATTCTGAGTGAGTAACAGTTTATGATACGCGTCCGTAATTTATTTTAAAATTTAAAAACTTAAAAATTACTGAAATTGATGTATGTGTGCTATACATGTAAAACTTGAATTGGTCGAAATGCAGACAAAATAGTTGTTTTGATGTTCTTAATAATTTTAATCTTTTTGGATAAGTTTAGTAAATGTGCAAATGAGGTGGAGTTGGATAAGTTTTGTTTTGAGATAATAATGAAAGGGAGACTAATTATAAGGCTAAGATAAGATTTTAATCGACATAATTTTATAATTTATTCAAGTTTACATTAATTATGCAGTTACAATTTTACTGATGGGATTTTTTAAAATTTATCTTTGTCGATGCAAATTTCGTTTTCATTGTGCTGATGTATTTATATAAGTCTGCATTAAAAACAGTTTTTTTAAAGTGTATTCTGAACGTGTGTACGTATTTATTTGTTTCTATGAAATGAAAATACATAAATACATATGTTTTTATAAATGTACATATGTATAGGTACACTTTTTGAATCAAAATTTTGTCAACGTTTTTAGAAATGTTTGATTATTTCATAAAGTACTGAAAACTATTGCATATTATTTAGTATTTTGTACATATTTACATACATGTTCATTGTTCGTTTCTATTTTTATGTATGGCCCCTTGGAATATTTTTATGTATTTGTTTATGGGAAGACTTTGTCCGTCTGTAAGCAGGGTAACTCGGGAACGAATCGAGATAATCGGTTTGCGGAATCATACGTATGGCCTCAGTGGGAGGATCCCATCAACTGTTGGGGTAAATTGGACCCCTCTCCTTCTCGGCGTCAAGGGGTGCGGTCGGGGCAAATTGAGACTTTATTTAAATTGAATTTATGGATGAAACACAGATAAAGTAAGTCCTCCCACGATGTCATGGATGTGGTTTGGGTAAAGTGAAGCTACTTTCCTAAGGTTTATTTACTCCCAAAACTCAGAGAGAGTTTGACATCGTTCGGAACGCTACTAGTGTAATCTGTATACTGGTTCTCCTTCGCAAGCATTCCCTGTAACACATACTGTATATGATCATACGTCGGAATGAATGAAAAATGACTTTTTCCATTTATTGGCCTACAGTCGCCAAACTTTCTGAGAATGTTTATGGTCACAAGTAGGTCAAAGCATATTTTCTCATATTGGTCATATTTTCGGGTTTTGGGACATATTCATATTCCCAATCATATTTCGGGGTATTTTCGTTCATTTTATCATTTTTGGCCAAATTCTAAGACTTGGCAACCAAATCGACAAAAAATGACAAAAAATTCAGTTTTTTCACAATGATTCATTGTGAGAAACTTTCAGAAATTTACGTTCACTTTCGCCTAAGGTGATTTAATTCATTGGGAATGCATTAAATCACCCCAGAACTTGTTTATTTGATAAAAAATGAGCATTACAAGAAAATATATCAGAAAATTAAGCCAAAAATTTAAAAAATAAAGTCATTTTTATAGTCATATTTTGGGGATTTTTACGGTAATTTTTCATTCATATTTTGAGGTTTTATCGGTCATTCATATCCGACGTTTGTTATGATATACATGCATGGATTCAACTGGTAAAATACCACCAAGTTGGTTAATCACAACGTATACGTTGAAATACGTATATGTGTATGTATATACCTGTCTTTAATAATTATTATAACCGTAGCTTCCTCAGTCATCAATGGGGAAAATACGCTTTTACCACCCACCCACCTATTTTGGGTGGGAAATGGGAAAAATGGCACACAGTTTTGACGAAATCTGATGAAAACAACTTGTTTAAAGCTTAACATTTTTAAAATTTGGCATGATACTCGTATTCACCTTTAAATTACGAGAGAATAAGTTGGTAATACGGTTTAATTCGAGTAATATTTAAAATTAACATGCATTCGGATGTGAAAAATAATCAAAACTGTTCAATGCATTGCATATCAAAATTTTCAGAAATTAGTGGAGATGACGAATATGACGTCACATTCCATCTTTGCAGGTTTTCCCCACTTTTTCCCCCTGCCGTGCGAAAATATAGTTTTGGACGGGAAAAACGAAACCCCGGCGATTCATATTTATGAATTGCTAGGGAACTTTTCTCAAGTCGAGTTTGCATACATACATTACGTCACCATTGAAACAAAAATGTAGAACCAGGTCAATAGAATTTCAAACTTCAATGGGGGAATATCTGTCTGTTTTTCTGACCTCGTGAGCGGGTTAGTAGATGAATGTAATGTGTATATACAATCCTCGCATTTAGGCGTGTCACCTCATTTGCATAAATCTCACTATGCCCATTTTCGGCGATACGTGCTTTCCGTGTTGAATAAACTCTGTCTCTCGCGAATGCGTCAAATTATGCAAATGAGGTGACCTGACCGGCTATAAAAATTCTTTAGTACGTACATATTTGTGTGTAAAATTTTTATTTATGTATGCGTACTTATGCAGTGGCGGCAGAAGCAGGGGGACAGGGGTCATTGTCCGCCCCGAAATTCAACAAAATCTTATCTTGCCCATATTAATATGTAAGTCCCTCGTCCTCTTATCTCACAATGCTAATGTCCTCACATTTGCCCCAACTTCCGCCGCCCGCGCCCCCGTATGATGTATTTATATGCACGCTATTTGCTCTGCCATAAGCATTTTTGCTATCAATGTCTTCATAGAATTTCTAATTTTTAAATACATAAGTATCTTTCGTATGTAAAAACGGTTTATGTATGTACGTGACAAACCTTAAACGAATATTATACATGCGCTCGTGCACATTAAGAAGATTAACTTGGGCTAGTTAATTATTAACTGGAGGAACTTTAGCTAGTTACTTTTAAAGTTTTGTCCGTCTGTCCATTGATATGTAGTTCGCATTTACCCAGATTTATGTACATTGAGCTACATTTAAGGTGATTGCATGTCAAATTGACCCAGTCACATTGACCCACGACAAATTGACCCGCACATATTAAGAGACAAAAGGCATCAAAAAGCCAAAACATAAAAGGCTGACTTCTTTGCACACACTGCTTGGACTACACTGTGCGGTAATCTTCCAAATCTGAACAAAATAAAATTTTTATCAACCGTTTGACGACATTTTCTTAATTTTTGCCCCCATTGAGTGGGTGTGGCAGGCGCAAATGTGGTCATACAATTAAAACACTTCAGCCTTTGCTCCTGGGGCAAGATCGCGACGGCGCCCCTCTGGTAGAATTTTTAACGTCAGCCTCACATACATAAGAAAAAGAGGACAATTATGTCCAGGTATAGCGTGGGGTCAATTTGTCGTTGGGTCAATATGTGCGGGTCAATTTGACGCGTCACCATTTAAGGTAAAGCATAGGCTATAGTTAAAAAACGTTAGGTCGCCTGGTTGTAACTCATTATGCTCAGTAAGTCGGAAAGATAATGACGTATTTACGGCTTGTTTGTCAGGCTATCGCCAGTTTATTACATCGATTGTGTCAGTTATATACGTTTGAAATGCTTATCATGCACGGAACCTCGAAAGTATCCATATATGTACCAATATGTAAAATGGAACTAATCAACTTAATGTAAAGACCACTGTCTTTACAATCTCCAAACAGGAAAACTTTGCATAAAAGTTTAAAAAATAAAATATTATTGTCTGTAACTCATTGCACGTATGTAGACATCGCAAACATGGAGATCTACAACTTAGCTCACTACATTAGTTTATTTTCGGGTTGTGTCGTAAACCTCATAAATTACGAAAATATTAATATTCCATCCACCATAAAAATCCCAATTTGGATCACAAGATTCACAACGATTCCATTTTGCAATAACGCCGAATCTGAGTATGGTGCCTTCTTTTCACTGCGTTACAAATTTATTCTGCTTGACAGTAACCAAGAATCGATTCCGAAATGTGTCCCTGTCGAAAAAAAGTCTAAAACACCCCATCGAAAAAATTCGGGCCATCCACGAGGTTGGAAATGCTTGACACGTTTCTACATTTATCCCCCAAAAGGAAAACCTGCCGGGGTCTTACCTCCGAATTTATACGAAGAACGTTTCATCTTGGAGGAAATATATAAAACGTCCGGAAATTACAGAACACACTATCACATTTTAGTACAACATGTTGCTGCTGATCTTAAATTGTGGGCGGCTGAAATGAGGAAAATTATGCATGGATATTCCGGGATTAATATGCTTTTACTTTTAACAAGGAACAATTTAATAGAAAATTTTATGTTCTGCTGTCGATATTGTCGCGGCTGCTTCCAAATAAGCAAGGTGGCAGAAGTGTATAACAAAATTAGCGGTAAAACACCCTGGTGTATTCTTGGCTATAAAAACCCTTTGGTGCATGGAAACATTCATTTCTCAGAAATATCAAGGGGCAATATTAAACGGGATAGTATTCTTTTAAACTTAGTCTTGGGCGGGAACGCCTCATTAAGTTTTTATGACGTAAAGTGCCTCCCATTAAGAGAAGAGATGCCTTCAAGTTTTGGGGAAAATACGATATTTTTGCAAGACCAGTGTTCGTCTGATGTAATTATTCGTCCAACAATTATGACGAAATATAACGTCAGTGTTGAACTAGTGACAAATTTATATCCGTATGGATTTCTTCGTTGCTCGAAAGCCCGTATGCCCCAGACATCTCTTAGAAATCTGGTAAATGTGTTCCCCATGAACGTCTGGATTTGTGTAATAGCGACTTTAATTTTGCCGGGTTTATTCATTCTCCTAGTTTCAAAGGAACACTGGTACAATAATTTATACCTATTACTAACCGGCTATTATATTCTTCTAGAACAACACTCTCCAAACGCGGTTAATTCAAAGCGAGAAACGCACATCTACTTCGTTTCTGCCACGTGGATTCTAATGTCGCTCGTGATAACCAACTTAATCCGAGGAGATAACGTGCACAGTACGATATCCCCAATTCGGGTCCAACCTTACGAGAATTTTAGGCAATTGATCAAGAACAGATTTACATTTGTAGATGAGACAACGACAATCGAAATGATGGGGATGAAGATGTATAACTCAGGTTTTTACGCGGCAGAAGCACTCGCCCTGCTAACGATCGAAACATCCTCAAGTGTGGTTTCAATACAGATACGGAAAGACATGAGGGATTTAGGCGTTTTGAAGAATTATACGGGAACAAAGGTCGACATTTGGACAAAGTTCCCGACACAAATTATGGAAACTTCGAGCACTTTTTCTTGTGCAGAGGAGAAAATTGCGTATCTCTGTTGGCTGGGGAAATTACAAGAGACTAAAGCTTTACTAGAGAAATATCGACCTGGGCCAGAATACAGTATTGGAAAAGAATACGTGGCTGTCGTTCCGAGTGGGTGGGTGCTTCGGAATGTCATAGATCCCCAGGTTTTGAGCAGAATTAAAGCTTTGCA